TTTCCTTAGAGAACTTCTGATCTTAGCATAATGAACAACAGCAACAACAAAAAAGAATTTAAAAAATGACAAATGATGTGCCTTGGCTTGAAAATCTGTCCCAGAATGAATGCTGTAGCAGTGTGGAGGATGCCTGGACACCTGAGTGAACTTTTTTTTCCTTTTCAGAGATCAGCCTCGCAGAAGACACTGTTAGAATGCTCTCCTGTACTGAGCGTTGAGTCAGACAGTGACAGTTTTTGAAGGGTAAAACGTGAAATCAAGACATGATTTTATTAGAAAACTGTTACCATCCCTCTGGAGAGCAAAGGGGCTGGCTCACAGCGCATCTGGAGCTGCTGTCGTGGGCTCATCAGCATCTGCAGGAAGGTGTGGATGTGTCCCTGACTGCAGCTCAGAAACGTGGCAGAGGCCAGGTTAGCAAAAACCAGGGCTGCTTTTGTTGGGCAGTGAAAATCATCAGAGGAGAGGAACACAAACAGAAGGGAAAGTTGTTGCTGGAAGGGGAAGCAGGCGAGAGACCTTAAGCTGGTAACAAAAGTTTGAGCACATGGTGCAGCTCTGTGCATGTGCGAGGGCGCTGGCACAAAGCTGCAAGTGCTGTAGCTGCGGGTGAGAGGAAGGCGTGGATTTAGGTAAATTTTAACAGGGAGCTGCATATGGCTTGGTGAAGGTCTCAGCGTTGTCTGTTACTTGTTGTCCATTAGGAACTGCTCATGGATGCTGGATTTGCCTTAATCCTAATGGATAAAGGATTTCTAGCACAGGAGGAGTAAAAAAATTAAAACAGGTACACTCATCTACAGTCTCAGTGTTGAGTTCTTTGTATACTTCGAGGAAAAACTATGCACAACAATCAGGTTAAACTCTGCAGTGTTCCTGCTACAGCTGTCGGGCTCTGGAATAATCCCCTGGAGGTGCAGCCCTGTGGGAGAGGCTGAAGAGAAAAGGCTCTGTGTGCTCTACCTGCAGGCATGGGTGGACGTGCCGACCATTTCAGCTCCCTGCTTGAATCTTCTCGGCAGTCGGATCCCTCGTGTCCTCCCAGTGCTCCCATACTGGCTTCAGGAGGAACGTGGGGTGGCTGGGGTGCATCCGCCCGCTGGGGAACCTCCAGTGTCCAGCCAGCTCGGCGCAGGCAGTTCTAGGTAGTTTGGCAGCTGGGTGCTCAGGCTTGAGCCGGTGTGTGGCACCTCGTCCTGGAGGCTGCCCAGAACAAAACCTCTCTGGGAGCTGGAAAACACCAGCCCCACACACCTCGGGGTGAGCTCGGGGTCTGCGGCTCTGAGCTGGGATGAGTTACGGCAAACTTCTGGGAAACGTGCGCTGCCCGGGTGTTGGTACCAGTTTGGTGAACTGTGCGTGGGTGGCAGGGAAGTTTTGATGTTGTTTCTTCTGTTTTCCCAGTAAATTGATACTTTGCTGTCTCTTCCCGCTGCCGGTAAGGCCTTACAGCTCATAGCCCCTACCCACAGCCTCGAGTAAACCTTTTACTTTACCCGATGCCGCTTCCAGCCAGGTTTCTGCAGCCTCCTCTTCGTGCTAGCTGGGACCTAACTTCATGGGCTTCGTGTGCAGGATCTCTGAGGTTTTCTCCACAGCTGCTCGGTGAGCGAAGAAAAGTCCTGAAATATCGCTGTTGGATTGGGCTTATTCCGCTTGGGTGAGACCAAAAAAATGGAGAGAGAAGGGGGCCCCAGAAGACCCCGCTGCCAATTCAATGTGTGTTCGCTGCTGTCCACCCAACAGGAGAGCAAGAGGGAGACCAACTCTGCTTCTAAATGAAAACTGGTGACTCGCTGCTCTTACAGAACTCACGAGATGCGGATCTTAACCAAGATGGTTGCAGGGAAAGAGAGCTCCATCCCATTTAATTGAATTTGAATCCCTCCGCAGAATCCAAAATCTTTCCGCTGGCAAATGCCGCCCCGCCACAATGGAAACACTCTGAGCCAGGGCAGCCTCAGAAGGACCACAGGCTGGAGCTTGCAACGAAACCAAAGACGGGCATTAAATCAAGAGAAAGAAAAGCTTAAAAGCTTAGTTTTTTTTATTTTTATTTTTTTTTTTTTTTTAAAGCAGTTACAAGGAGATGAGAGCAAGGAAACATTTACTTCAGTCTTTCAGAATTTGACGTCTGGAAGTTTTCTGCAGCCCAGCACAAGTGGCTGCGTATCAGAGGCCAGGATGGGGAGAGGAAGCCTGGCTGGTAGAGAAATGAGGACGGAGACGGGTTCTGCCCCACACCAAGTGTGTGTTTGTGTGATTACCAAAGGCAGCATGAAGCCCAGGACAAAGTTAAGCACCAAACAGCACTGAAGGGCTTTTGGCCTGTTCTGAGAGCACTTGGATGCTGAACTCTGTGCTGCACCGCTGGAACCTCAGGCTGCAGCCCGCTCACGTCATCGCTGCCTGTGGTATCTCCCACATCAGCTGGAGCCAGATAGTTGGATCCTGGCCCTGGCGTTTTGCTGCTTGTTCTTTGCACTTTACCCAGCAATTAATCCGGTTCCTCCTGCAGCTCGTGGGGTTGTGTGCTCCTCCCATGGCGGGGACCGGGTAGTGGCAGAGCTCCTCGCCCTCTCCGCGCTGGGTGTTACAGGGAGAGCTGGGGATTGGTGACTTCAAAGAGGCTGGCCCATTACTCACATGCGAAATGAAGCGAAGCCATTTCGACTTTCTGGTTTTGTCCTGCCATTTCTTGTAAGGGCGGCCTCCGCAGAAGGAATTCTGCCACATCAACCAGCATCGCTGGAGAATGACTCTTACTCCAAAGTCAGAAATTAGAGAAAAGTTTAAAACTGGAGGGAGCGTTATGTGCCAGGCTTGCTCGGATTGCTTCAGTCTCTCCTTGTAGCAAGAAAAACTGGTGCTTAAGAACCTTGAAATTCTTAAAGTATGAATTTGAGTATTTCATCAGGAAAAGAGCCCTAAGGATCTGGGAAGCTAGGACAGGAGAGGACCCGTAGGAACTAGTGTCAGTCTGAGGTTTTCGTGTGCTTGCATCAGTTTCCTTGCCTTCCTGTATGCTGTCTTACAAGCCTAGAAAAGGGTTAAATTCTCAGTCAGAAACAGGAGGATATTTGCATATAATTGTCTAATTGGAACTGAATGGCCCATCCCTTTGGAATGGTAGCTGAGGTGTAGCTGAGAAGGATGTCTTGGCTGAAACAATAAGGAAGGCGATTTCCTGGCTGTTAACTATTAACAATGAGCATTAAAGCTGGCTGGAAGGAAACAATGCGGGTTAACTGACCCAGAGTGAGAGCAGCTGAGAAGTGTGGCTCCAGGAGTGAGGGAAAATTCACCCATGTGGCACTGAAGTAAGGTCTTGCTGGCCTGAGGATTAGCGTTTTTTAAAAAAATATATTATTTTTATTTGAAAGGTATATAAAATTCTGTAAAACCAGCCAGAGGTCTTGCTGGGTTTAATTCTTGTTGTTCCCTCTGCCCTTCTCTACAAGGATAAATCCTCACTTAAGGTTTGTCTGGGTACCTGCAGTGAGGTCACGCTAAGCAGAGGGGCTAAGTTCTGGTTCATGCTACCTGGGCTGGGGGATTGATGGAGAGTTCCTCCCTTAGAGCATCCCCTGGAATTAACCTGCAGCGTTCAGCCTCTGGAGATTTTTCAGTGCTCTAAGCAGAATATTCGCTAGTCTTGTGCTGCTGCTCCGTTTGTTAAGGGGTAAAATACTGGGGAGGAGGAAGAAAATTGGAGGACGTTTGCAAACTGCAGTAACAAACGCTGAGGTGTTCTTTGTGGCTGCAGCCTGCCTCCCGGGGTAGCAGCGGTGCTGTTGTGCTGCTGCTGCTGTCGGTCTCCAGTTCCAAGCAGCCCAGGACTGCAGGAGGAGTCTCACCGGGGTGTTGATACGTCCCTCAGGAGTGCTTGTGAATCTTGAGGCTTTGGGCCAGTGCTAGGACCAGCAACGCTTTTAGGGACTTGGCTGAGGAAAGGCTCGTTACTGGTTGAACGTAACGAGTAATGAAGTCTTTCTGTCTTCAGCGTGTGCTCTCTACGTCAGTCCAGTGTTGTTCGTGATAGTGTCAGGGTCCCCAGTTTCCTCCTTCAGTGACCTGTCAATCAGAGGTACACTCTTGGAATTATTTAGAGATGATTATGTTTCCATACTAACTAATAACTAAGTAACTTCAAATAAGTATTCAAAGTGGTAACATCTGCCTTAAGCCCAGTCCCTGATGAGGTACATGGACCATCTGAAATTCTGCTGCTGCCAGTCCTGGATAGATTGCTGCTTGGGAAAAGGTGCTGTGCTCTCTGATGGTACAGTCTACAACACGTGATTTTCTGTGATATTCCAATATTGGGATTGTGGTCAGGCTGTTTTCCCGGGTGTCATGCACTGGACACGTGGGAATTATATTCGTCTTTCGTTGCAGATCACAGAGGCCTTGTTAAAGGAAAGAGATAAACAAGCAAAGTGGAATGGGATTCCCTTACTGTTGCAAAAGCTGTACGAGCATAGCCACCCAAACAGCGACTTCTCCCAGTGCCAAAGCATCTTAAAGGTATTGTCTGCTGTCTTCTCCTGGAATGGGGTGGGTTTTTTTGTTGTTACTTTCTCTAAAGACTGGTATGATGATATACTGTGACTTTTGAAAGTGTGTGCATGATAGTACCTGTGAACTGGATGCAAATAATAGCTAGGAATGCATGTAATTAATTAGTCACCAGATCACATGGATAGTCTGAGAAAGTTGTGTTTATACTGATGAATAGTTTTCTCTATGAATCATCTCTTTTTTTGTTTTTTTGTTTTTAAACTGCATACAGGAAATTTCTCCACTTCTCTCGATGGAAGCCATGGCATTTGTTACAGAAGATAGAAAAGCTGCTCAAGAGTCCACTTTCCCAAACACGTACACCTTTGACTTGTTTGGAGGAGTTGATGTAAGTGTGGTTGGTTGTGCTTTTGTTTCTTTTTGTTGCTGTTTTTTTTTTCTTTTTTCTTCCTCCAAAGACACCAAGAGATTTCTGCATGGTAGTCATGCCGTTGCTAAATCTGTAAATGACACCTTTGAGACTTGTGAAGTTTCTAAATGCAAGCAACAGAAACATTTTACTGTTTTGATGTTAGTAATTACAATTGTGTCTATTTGAGTTGTTCAAAATGTTAAAAAAAAAAAAAAAAGTTTTTTTTAATGTATTACATCATCAAAAGCAAAATGCTGGTTTTTATGTTGTAAATTTGATTTTCTTCAGGTAGCCTGCTTGTACTTGAGAGACAACACCTCTAGGGTCTTCAACGGTTTCAAATGATTTCTAGTTGTAAGGTTAAATACTACAGTCACTACTAGAGCAATAAGAATGACACTTACTGAAGGGAATGTCTTTGTTTTTAAGCACACTAGGACACTCCTGGCAAGGTTGTCCCTTTATTGCTGCCATGCAACACACACTGCTTCATCTGTGGAAAAATTTTTAAGCTGGGCTGCTAGGTTTATGTGTAGATGTTTTGGCATTTTATCTTTTTTGTTTGTCTGTTATAATTTGACATTACAAATATACCCAAGTTTGTTCAGTTTTATTGTGACAGACAATGGGATCTTACTTTTCCTTAGAAATGTATGATTTGTGTTTTTCAGGCGACTGATTAACTTTTTTTCTTCTCTAGCAGTCTTTGCTACTTCTCTCTTGTTACTCTTAATGGGCCTTTATTCCAACAAGACATCTATTTAGGATATATTATTTTGAAAATAACACTCGCTTAGTTGCTGGAGTCATGTCACTTGAGGACAACATTCTTCAGCTACCCAAGCAATTTAGAACATAGTATGAAAATGTTTAAAAACAATACTTTTTATTTTTAAACAGAAAAAGCGATGTTTTCCATTAAAGTGCTTTTACCATAAGAATGCACTGAAAAAAGCCTTGTTTCATATTTAAATGAGCATGTATATTTGTTTTTGTGATAGTCAGGGGGAGTGATTTGGTGGTTTGTTTTTTTTTTGGTTGGTTGTTGGTTGTTTTTTTTTTCAGCTTGCTTGGGTAACAGTCAGCTTTCTGACTATAACAATAGATACCTGGTTCCTAATTACCTGGAACTGTGGTGAGAGATTTAGCTGGTCCAAGTGGGTTTAATCTGGTTAAAGGTAGTGTTAGAAGGCAGCGGTAGGTGTTTTTGAAAGTCCTGCTTTAGGACTTGAGAGACAATTAGTCTGATCTACTAGTTCTGTGTGTGCCACGTACTGATTCTGTGTTGGGATATTTCAAACCACGAAGTATCAGTAACTTAGGAAGACACCAGATTTGCAGTGTACTCCGTAGCATCACACTATAATGTGTGATAGCATATTGGTGTAGGTACTTTCAGATTCAGACAGCCTTTACATCAAGGAAGAAGAAAAGCACATTTATGCATCATTCCTTTATAAGAATTATTGTAAAATGCTGCCTGAGAGTACGAGCATGTCAATTAATACATGAGCTTTAGGGACTTTGGACATGAATGCAAGCCCATTTCAAGCAATTAGATCTCATAACTCCATTTCTGTGTTTTGTTTGTTTTGTTTTGTTTTGTTTTCTGGGTAAGTGAGGCACCCTCTTACCTATTCTCTCTCTGCCTTTTGGCCTCTTGCACTTCTTGCTGCATATTGTTGCGGTTTCAGTAGGATGGCTGAAGAAAGCCCTCTCCAAGGAGTGTCTGACACCACTGCAGTCCAGTCCCTGGAGTGTATGTGCGAAGCATACCAGTGCTCAAGGATAAGATGATAACTACGTGGTGGGTTATAGTACTGACAAAGAAAAAGAGATAGGGTATGCTTCTGTGGCAGGATAGAAGAGATCTTTACTGCAGCCACTCTTAAAAGACTCACTGCTTGCAGTAGATGTTCTTTCCCAGAAGAAGAGCAGGTGGCCTGCATCCCAAGTGTTCATGGATATCTTTGTGTGCTTATCTCGGGTACGTGGCTTTGAGGTGTGCATTCTCCTCCTAAAAATTAAGCTGTTAATCTGAGCACTACATTAGTGCTGCTGTCATTTTTACTTCCCTATTAATTCAACAGTTGCTCTAACAAATACTGAAAAATATATTTTCTTCTTTCAAGTTGAAATACATTTTGAAATCCGGCAGGATTTAGGAAGAGCCCTTTCAAAATCTGCATTTCTTTGCAGATTATTGCTAAAGATTCATTATTTTGGGAAATATGCGATAGTCGTCCTTGATGTTATCTGGATATGTGTGAAAATACATTCTTTGCTGACTCGTGCTTAAAAACTTGCCAGTGGGAGCCTATTTTATACATATGTTATTTTTCTGCAGGGTAAATACACCTATTTTTTGTGAATGTAATTTTGACACCACTGGGTTTTTGATTGTAAAATTCCCATCAGTCATCTTAGTGACTTCAACAGAGATGGGTCTAAGTTCGAATTTTTTGCTGACAAATTAACTGGTTATTTGTGTCCCAGTGATTATTCCCTTAATTCTTTATCTATTGTTTTTCAGCTTTTAGTAGAAATTCTCATGAGACCAACTCTAATGACACAAAAGAAGAAACAAAAAAGTAAGTAAATAGGTCTGCTCATTTTTTTTTCCATTTTTGCCTTGTACCCTTCTTGAAGCAGGAGTTACTCTATTTTTCTGTTGCTCTTTTCCTTCTATACCAAGGATTTCATGTTCCAAAATGAATCATTGGTTTCTTTGTTCTCTGTAGTACTGATTTATGTTGAGAATTAGGATAGTAACCTGCTGCAAAATCAGGAGTATTCATGCTGTCAGCAGAACATTTCTCAACACAGCAAATCTGTAGTCACTTGAAACTTCACCTTACTGTGGCTATAGCTACTGTTAACAATTACTAACAACAGTCCACAAAGCATTGTTTATGTAATAGGAGTTACAGAGATTGTGAGATATGAAAAGTATGCTGTTTTCCTGACCAAGTCACAGTGACTACTAATTTCCAAATTGTTGTAAAGAGAACTTGCTAATGGGGAGCAGTAGCTTCAGGTCAGCTTTCCTGCTGGAGCAGCTTCAGTTTAGTGTTTCCATTTCTCTTGTCTGTGATTCTTCTGACTCCCTACAACTCTCCTGAGGAAAGGAAATGTCATGGTATGCGCCGTGGTCCCTGCCCACCAGCCAGGGAGCTTCAAAGGTGAAGTAACTTGAAGTTGAGCTAGAGGCAGCTGTTCTGTGCCCATATGTTTTTTAAATATTAAAATGCTGGAATAAATCAGATTGAAAGCTTTTCTACCAATTCCTGATGCTGCCTGGAGAAAAACACATGAACTAAAGACTGACTTCTTTTCACGTTTAATAATTGGAACTAATTTGTTTATAGCATTTTTTCCATATTGTACAAATTTTGAGTTGATCTATGACTTCTTTCCTTCTCTAAAATACTGTTTACAAACCCTGTAATTTTGCATGTGTGACTAAGTGTGCTAGCCCTCAGGTACATCTCCATCTGCAGTCCTAGGCGGTAGTTTTGGAAGAAGGTAAGCAAACAGAGCAGATACAGAGTGATTTTATTGTGTTTTTTATCTGCAAGACATTTGCAGGTATGATCCAAGTCAGTAGTTAGCCTGAAATTCTCACTCAGTTTACAGCTATTAATTTCGCTACTGTGGACATCACTGATCAACATTACTTGTTAAGATGAGGCTAGTGAATGTCTGTTTTCTCCTTTGCAGTAAGCGATGACCTCATCAAGGACTGTTTAAGCATACTGTACAACACGTGCATATGTGTAAGTGCAACTGCTATGAAAATGTGTTCTGGCTTGACCAGTGCATCTGCTGGGTATGGGTTTCATGTGACGGGATTGTTTTATACTTGACAACAGACAGACTCTTTTAAACATAACTTAAAATGACTCTGAAACTTTTCGTTAGAATTCCTTTAGTTAAATGTGGGACCACCCTACATTTTGGATTGTTGTTCAAATAATTTGTGTTTTCTTAGGCACATTGTTACGCTTAATCTCTCTTGGTTGGATCTTTGTGTATCTGTGTTCCCGTAGGAAATTAATGTCAGCATTTGTTGTGTTGAAGCTTAAAATTTGAAACTAAATGGATGCCTGCAGTCTAACCCAAGCTACAGCTCATCTTGTTCAGTAACAGTGCTGGCAAACTCTTTAAGTTTGATCCTGCAGATTCTTTGTATGTTGAATACCAGCGTAGTTGTGCATTGATGGCAGATCAGTGCCAGCTATTGAAATAGCTTCAGAATTGTAATGGAGAGCTAGAAGGGCATGCCTCTGATTATGCTTACAGGGAACATCCTCACCATTGTTTAGTTAATCACGCAGTTTATTAGGTCGTAACCTAGGGAGCATTGTTTAATGAAAAAAAAACAAGTTGATAGTCACTGGACTGGAGCTCTTCCAAAGACATCAACCTTATCTGGAGAGTTTGAGTACTAAGTATCTGTGTACAGATGGGAAGGAGAACAGAGGGAACACCACCGCCTGCTTGACTTAATAGGATTTTATTTTGTTCCTTAAACCAGAGGTAATGCAACTTTTGCAGACTGTGATTATTGTAATAGCAAAGGAACAAGTTTGCATTTTTTTGGATTAGCTGCTGTTTGACTTGCTTCACTTCATTATTACCACTCATTTGAATGAGAAATGTTCAGGATCACAGAGGTCTTCTGTGTGCAACATAAACTGTTCTTATGCTTATCTGTAAATATTTAGGAAGTATGTAAGCTAGTCTATTTCTGTGAGCAGTGGTGATAGGTCAGTCACAATAGCCAACTTTGCAAGCACTGAGGATGTAGTTTGTTACATTTAATTCCAGAAAAGAGTGTCCGTGGTGTCAGCAGAGATCAGAGCGTGAAAGCTAGCATTACTTAACTCTGTGATGAACCCAAAAGTCGTGCCTTAGTGTGCTGTAGCATGACTGATGTGTTCATCACTGAATTCATTAAGGCTGAAGCGTGATTCTGGTTGCTTGGACTCTGCCCAGCTGAGAGCAATGCTAACAGTTAAGGAGGAATCTGGGGACTGCATTTGCATATTATGAAATGGAGCTGATTATAATTTGTATGGGAAACTAGAGATGAGCCTCTCTGACATGTTTCCAGGCATTCAGTGTTTACTCTTGATTTAAGCAAGTAAACGACTCTGCCTTGAGTGAAGGTTCTCATCTTGGAGCCTGTCGATTTTGCAAGCCTCTTGTTAACTCCAAGCGAGGATTGCAGTTAGATTTGGTCACTATAACCACAATGTTTTCAGGAACATAGGATTTGATAATACATTATCTTAAAACTGTTGTGCATGTGCCTGTAGCATGACATGTCAGGGTGGGCTCTGAATCTGGGTCTCTGTGCTTCTTGTTGCTTTCCAGACGGAAGGAGTCACAAGGCGATTGGCAGAAAGAAACGACTTTGTGTTGTTCCTGTTTACACTGATGACAAACAAAAAGACATTCCTGCAAACTGCAACGCTCATTGAAGATATCTTGGGAGTAAAAAAGGTTTGTTAACTGGTTTCTTTTTTTTGCATGGCTTTTCAGGCCAGTGGAGAAAATACATCTGTTTCTGTGAAGTGTTGCTGAAAATAATTCTCAAAGCTAGCGTTCTCACTTCTTGTAGCTTGTTTGAAGCATGCCTTTTTACACTAATCATTAACTTTAATCACAGTTCAGACAGAAGCCAAACTATGTGTGTGGTATCATATTTGTAATGCTCTTGCGTAGCTTGCAGAGGTTGATGGGGGGGAGTGGATAAGTAGCTCATTATTAAAGCACGGCCAATATTTAAAATAAAATGGAACGCGTCCAAATTCATTTTTTAGTCCTTTCCTTTTGATTACGTTCCAGATATTTCAGCAATCTTGCTGACATCCATAAAGCTTCCTGTGCTTCTCTCCCTTACCTTGGGTTTTGTTATCTCCCTGAGATTACTTGAGGTTGTTTGCTGTAGGCTGGGGGAACAGACAGTGAGGTCTTCTGCGTGAGCTGGGTTTTTGAACTTGTACTGAAAACTTTGCTGATGTCATCACAGCGTAGCACCCTAATGTGGTGCAAAGAAAACTTCAGAGTTGTAACCCTGGGAAAATTGTCAACAAAATGTATCAGCAAAATGTACATTATGTGGAGAGGGGCAGGGTCTTGTAGCTGGCTTGTTACTGGTTTTTTTTTTTGTTTTGTTTTCAGAGTAAATTTGAGGATATTGCACTTCTAAAGAAGTAAACAAGCTTAGTTTATCTGAATGTAAATAACAAATTTTCAAAATAATTTTTATATCTTTTAATGAACAAGTCTGAGGGAAGGAAATCTAGGAGCCCGTTTTCATCTGTAAGCTTCTAAGAAACTACAGACAGAAGCAGAAAAATTTCAGATTTGAAAGTTTAAATGTAAATGGTCTGTTAAATGATTTAAAAAAAAAAAAAGCCCCCCAAATTTCACTTAAATGCAGAGCCCTTAAAGTCTTTAAAGGATAGATATGTATGCTTCTGGAATTAATAAACATAAATGACACCAGTTGTAAATTAACAGCTGTTTTCAGAGTTCATTTGCCACTGCTTGTGGGCTTCTGCTTTACTAACATTGAAATAACACAGATCTCACCACAGAGAAGCTGTAGATGAAGCTTTCAGGCTGTGTTGTACATTCTCCTATACATCATGCACAACTTAGATTGTATTGCCTCTTCTAGGAAATGATACAACTGGATGATATACCCAATCTTGCAAGCCTTGTATCTAGTTTTGATCAGCAGCAGCTTGCAAATTTCTGCAGGATCCTCGCCGTCACAATTTCTGAACTTGACACAGGAAGTGATGACAAGCACACGCTGCTTGCCAAAAATGCTCAGCAGAAAAAAAACTTGGGACCATCTCGAGCTGAAGTTAATCAAGGTAACTGATACATTGTGAACAAATGCAGCAGAGTAACAGAGCAGTAATGTAAAATTTCTCTCTTCTCAACCTTAGATCTGTAGTGTGTGTTTTTAGCAGATACTGTAAGCGTTCTGCCTTACAAAGTGTTTGTCTTTATTCAGTTTTTTGGGCAATTCCTGGACACAGTCTTCTCTGTTAATGAAGCTTCCTAGTTTTCATTTTCATTACCCAGATAGTAGTTAGGTGAGTTGAGTCAGTCATTTCAGCCATCTTTGATCAACTGAATAGCTTAAAATAATTGTATTTGTTTTCTCTTGCTTGGTTGGTTCCATGGCCTTCCCTTTAGCATTTCGGTAATTTCATGTCCTCCTTAATATATGAGTTCCTGAACTAAATCTATACAACCATCACAGTTGCTGTCAGAGTAGTTCCTTCTCCGATTTTTATCGGGCATTGTCATGAGCAGGATGTCTGTCTATCAACAAAAGTATGTTTGTTAGTCACTTGTATACCCTTACCATGCTAGCCTTTGAAAATCTGTGGGTCTAATCTAAACTTTAACCGTGGGCAGAGTGCAGGTTTTCTTATTTTGCCAAGTACAGATGCAGAAGCCTTGCTCAGATGCAGAAGTCCTAAATTCGTACTCAATCTTCTAGGCATGGCATTTATATTAAAATACCATCAAAGGTGGAATCTGCTGTTTTCAGCTCTTGATATACTGAAAATCTTTTGAGCTTCTGAAGAAATCTCTGTTCATAACCACTGCCAGCTATAGAGCATCCAAGTGAAAGATGGATAGAATAATATGGCAGGCAGAAGCTGAGAAACTTTAAAGGGGGGATGGTGGTGTATTGTCTTCTGCCTTGCGATTACCAGAGCTTGCTTGTAAAGAGCAGTGCACAGGCATGTCTAGGTGAGGGTACAAAGTTTAATTTAAATTAGTTGAACTGAATAAGCTTGGACCCTGTAGAGCTGAACTTGGCTGAGCAAATGTTTAACTGACCATTTTTTTGTTTGCACAGTCAGAGACTGTGTCTAAGACGGCAAAGCATATTCAATTTAAAAATCCTTATTAGGGAGTTTATTCTTTCCAAGATGGTACTAGTGGGCAGAAACACAGCTCTTTTACATGCTGTTCGTGGCTAAATTCTTTGTCCTTTTCTACTTTATGTGCAAGTATGAAGACTTAGCTGTGTATTTACCTCAGTGTAACTTGACTTCTTTTCCCAGAGAAGTTGTGGGTGCCCCATCCCTGGGGGTGTTCAAGACCAGGCTGGATGAGGCCCTGGGCAACCTGATGTAGTGGGTGGTGTCGCTGCCCATGGCAGGGGGTTGGAACTGGGTGATAATTAAGCTCCCTTCCAACCCAAGCTATTCTATGATATAATAAACAGGTCCTGTAATGAAGTCATTCTGTTAAAACTTCAGGACAAAATGCATATACTAGCACCCTCTAAACCACCCAAAGATCTTGCAGATCAGTGACTTCTGTCCTTGAACTGCTGTTACTAAAGGTGCAGTTTACAACAATTAATAACCCTCTAACTTGGGGCTGCCATTATATGCTTCCCCTCCTGTTCTACTCTATGATGAACTAGTTTGGGAAACAAATACTTAAAATGCTAAGAGCTTTCCAGCTAGTTACAGAAGTGAGCTAGTTCAGTTTGCTGTGAGGCAAACACTGCAGGAGGCAAAATGAAGGAGGTGGCATCACACAGCAGAAAGGAGGATAGGAGCTGGCCCTTCTAAGGGCTGCTGCTTTATTTTCTGCCTGCTTAATTTTCAGCCAGATCAGTTTCTTGATATTGACTCACTATGGGCTAGAAAACAGCAGTGTCAGCAAAAGGGAATTGTCCTGAAACAAGCAGTTAGAATAGGGTAGAATTGTTTTTTTATACAGTGTAAGTCCAGTGTAGACCAGTTTAGTGCTGATTGAATTATGCCTAGCATATGTACACTCCCTCCCAGTTCTTAAGAGGAGAGTACACCAACTACTTCAATCTTTGGATCTTGTTAACTAGATGGAATTTGTTCCCGTGTACTTTCCTATATTTCTAATGTAGGTATTTTGGTACCTGTCAGTAGAGAGGTTTTGATGACTGTTGTGTTGGTGAGCCTGAGTCATAATATAATTTTTCTTTTTCAGCTACGCTTCTGAATATTCCAGGCTTCATTGAGCGATTATGCAAACTGGCAACACGGAAGGTATCTGAAACAACGGGTACTTCCAGCTTCCTTCAGGAGTTAGAAGAATGGTATACCTGGCTGGACAATGCGCTTGTGCTTGATGCACTGATGAGAGTGGCAAATGAAGAGGCAGAGCAGAGCAGTACAGGTATCTGGCTTGCATTCCTCTAGCCACCATTAACAATGCATATTTTATCTTCTTCAGTATTTGTCATTTGTTGCTTTTCCTTTCAACCAGTATTGATTCCCCTTCTCTTGCATGAAAGACTGCCATATCAGCACTTCGGTCTGACTGTTTTGTTCTCATGTAGTGCTGATTAATTTTCACAAGCTGAAGTTAGCAAAAGGAAAAAAAGTGTTCCAGGGCAAACTGCCCTTTGCACGCCTAGATAACACTTACTTATAACACTTATTTGTAACACTACATCCTTAAAATTAGTCTCCCCCAGAGTGACAAGAACACGTCTGAGGTAAGTGACTACCAGAATTTGCTCTAAAACTTAGGCTGGTGGAATTTATTCCATATACTTCATACCAAGGAAGTGACCCCTTCTTTAAAAAGAAAAGCTTGTTCCAGGAGAGTGTATGGAAGTGTTAACACGAACTTCGGAAAAAGCTTTAAAGCAACTGCCTGGTTTCTTTTTTTACCCTTCAATATTACAAAATTGCAATGCATATTTAATTCAAAGCACTAAATAATGAAATTAAAATTATCCCCATAATTTGATAGCTAAACCTTTGCTTTTCTACTTCTTTAGAAGCTTTCTTCTTCATCTTTGTTAGTTTTGCAGAAACTATTCTAAAAAATTGAAAGTGCACAAAAGAATGAAGTACCTGCTCCAACAGCATCTTGTTCATACCTTTATATGCCATCTTGGTGCAAACTAGAGACCGCTTAGTAGTCTGAAACAGAATTCACCAAGCAATTTTGTGGAGGTGCAACGTGCCCTGTTGCAGCTCTTGACCCACAAAATCAGTTAGCAAGCAAACCTAGACATGCTTTCCCAGAATACTGCCTCAGTCTCTAGTGGCTTGTGGCTTAGGGATTTATGAGTCAAAGGTAGTGTCTGTACTTTTTAGCCTTTGATGGTTTCATTCCTCTGTGTTCCTGTCTGGTGACTGTTCCTTCCCATGGGTTTAAAAAGCATTCACGCTATCCTCTGGCAGGGCAGTTCGTGGCTTAGTTATGAATTGTGTAAAGAGCTAACTCCGTTCTGAACTGCAACCTGCAGATTTCACTGTCCCCGTTTCTGTGTGTCACTCATGATTTCATCACATTTTCCACTTACAGTTGTGGCATGTTACATCCAGTTTCTCCCTTTAGCAATGTAATAGGGCTATGAAAATATTTAACTGTGGCCTAAGTATGCTGGTATTGAGGTACAAAATGGAAGCAGGCAAATAGTAAATGTTTCTGATAATCTCACACTTACTTTTATTACCTTTCCTGCCATGTCCTTTCTGATGCAGTATTCTATTATTCCTATTAGGGGATCCTAGTTATTTTATGTAGGTGATGCCATTTACCTTACTATGGAAAACTTAAATAGTTTTAAAAAATCGAACTTTATCTCTTCTAAAGTTCCAGCTATATTTTTCCTCTTCTCTTGCATTTAATTTAAATTGGTTATTTGTTGTATGCCAATACTTTTAGTTGTGAAGAGGATTCAGGCAGACTTGCTGGTCTTACATCTGTGGTGTCTGAGTGTAAAAGTAATAACTGTAACAAATCCTTTCCTGTTGAAACTGCCTCAGGCTCACATCTTTGCCATCTTGTTCAGAGTCTTCTGATGAAAGTGGATTGGCCAACACCTCAACACGAACACAGCTTCCACAGTCCATGAAGATCATGCACGAGATTATGTATAAGCTGGAGGTGTTGTATGTTCTCTGTGTGTTGCTCATGGGGAGACAAAGGAATCAGGTAAGCATTTGCAAATGATCACACATGCAAAAGTTGAAGTCCCTGTAAACCTAAGTGCTCATTAATTAGGTCACGGACGCAGAAACATGAAGGGCAAAGCTCAAGGCATAAAGCTGGACAAATCCTATCATTGCGGTGATGCACAAACAAATAGGCAGTGTTTTGTTGCTGAGAATGAGCCACTGGGCAGGACTTGGACAGCACAGCTTGTGACAACTGTGGGGGTGGAGAGCTGCTGTGGAGCTGCTACTGCTGGTGCAAGATGGATGCAGAGCAACAAAAGCTAATGGCAGGCCTTGATCTGGTACATACATGAAGGTACCTGCAGGCTGCCCTAATCTGCAGCATTAAGTGCCAGAAATCCCTCATCCAGGATCCTGGATCTGGTTTTGAGAAAGTGTGTGGCCATACCTGCGGGAGTTGCCTGGTAGGGTTTTCCTCCTCCTCGCAGCGTGCTGCTGACCTGCCTGGACAGACCCTACCAGGCATTCCACTTGGGCTTCTTTCACTTCTGGAAGTCCTCTGGGGTCGTTTTTGCACTGGTGACTTTTGCAGTGCATTTCCGTGCCTCAGCCAAGTGAGCATGTTGTTAAACTCTCAGCTGAGAGGATACACTTCAGTTTTGTCAGTACAAACTTTTCACTGCATAGAAATCCCACTCATCTGTTCCTTTTGCATTTCTTGCCTTTGAAGTGAAAAATTAATAATTTGTTCCCTACCTTACATAACTTCTGGAGAACCAGTCACTGCAGCTTGGCTATGGTTGGGTTTTAAACAGGTCAAAAGCACATTGTGAAGGGAAAGGGGAGGCAGTCTGTTGGTGCAGTTTTGACAGATTTCCAGTGTGGGCAGTCTGCTCAGCTCAGCAGAGCAGCTTGGAATAGCTGGGTATTAGGATGCCCTAGAGACTGGGAGGATCACATTTTTTTGAGTTCTTGCAGGGTTGTTGTATTGGGCAAGAGTAGCTGTGTTTGGGGGCTGTTGCTTGAGCACATTTATCCTGACCATTTTGTTTTTTGCTAGCAACCTCCCACCCTGTAGGACTCACAAATACTCATTACAGGCAGTCCTTTAAATATCTTAATCTGAATTTAAAGTAGAAGTGTGTTTGAAGTACAGCTTTGCAACATAACTAACCTGTTCACAGTGAACCTACAAATGGATACTTAGCACTAAAATTAAATAGATTCTGTTTAATACTAACCAGAGGAAGCTAGCAATTCTTGCAGAAACCACAATTGCTATCATAAGAAACTTTTATTCCTGTTGTTAGTCCTTTTAGGAGGAAAAAAATATCTTTCTGTTGGGTATAATACAAAAAAAAAAAAACAAGCATGCTCAAGAAATAACTGGAACTACCAACAACCAGAACACAGATCTCTTAGGAGTTTTTTCTTCCATTGTATCAAGTCAGATAATTCATGCCTGCCCGATTTCACAAGAATGCAGTTTTATAGATGCCTCAGAAACTACTTGCAACTTGCACTCATCCCACACTGCCTGTTCAGGGAGCTGGACGTGCTCCTTTCCTGACCTCCCCGGTCAGTTCTCGAATACTGCTGCCAGCTGTGACAAGGTGGCAAGTATGCTGCTGAAATAGCTAGCTTGGAAGTTGACTCCTCTTTTATTTGCTAGGAAAACTCCCAGTTCTTCCTTTGCTGTTTCTGCCCTGATGCAAACTGTCTAAGGGTTAAACTGGCATGCAGTTCTCTTCTTCTCCGGGGTTCATTCAGGTCTGGAGTTGCATTGTTGCAAGATTTAAAGTTATTTCACTCCCAAATGTTTTTTTGTCCAGAGCCAGGTCCTTCTGTAAAATCCACTACTTTTGATTGAACATAATAATATCCCTCGTTCCTTATTTGCATAAAACTTTCAGGGACTTGTGTGGCAGACAGGAATCTATTCCCCTTCTTGAGAGGAAGTCAGACAGATTAAGAATCAGAACTGAGCTCTTCCGTGTGGAGCTGAGCTGCAGTAAGCAGGTAGTGGCACTCGTACTGACAAGCATTTCAGCTGCTCTCATTTTCTATCAGGAAATAAAAGCATAGGTTCTGTAACATCAGTCTTCCAGTCTGTGCAGCCAAAGATCTTAATAGTTTAATATTGGAATAATTTTGTGCAGAGTTTCTAAAGGGCATCACAGATCTGCTTCTGTCTGCTGTGGTAATCAATATAATGGTCTGACATTTTGCCTGAAGCATGATGCAGCTTCCTAAACTAAACCTGCTGCTGAATGTTTACTCTAAATCCTTGGTTTGAACTTGACTGACTTGCATAAATTGAAAACTGCTCGCAGTGACTTGGCTCCTACCTGCTGCCATGTTGGGAATGAACACACCCTTGGGGATAAGTGGTGTGTCACTGCAGATCTCTGCCTTTGCTCCCTTCTCATTATGGTCACACCCTAAATTACTCTCCTCATACATTTTTCTAGGCTGTCTTGCATGTCTCTACTGTGACAGATAATCAGTTGTTTTACTTGCTCCTGTTACAGGGAGACAAACCATGTACAGTAGAAGCTCGTAATAGCTTTAGTGGCAAGAAAGTAATAGAACAATTTATATGAGGCTGGGCAGCAACAGGGGAAAGAAAGTCAAAGGAGTTTGAAGGATGAGTATGGAGCAGGGGTTGTGTTGGCATCCCTGGATGGAGTAGTTGTAATGAGCTTGGGGTCGTGGGGGGAGCACAATCCAAAGGCAGCGACTGTGACTCAGGAGCTTTGTCACGCAGCAGTCTGTCAGGGTGGCATGAGTGAGGTGGGAAGGAGCTGTGTGCTTCCTCCAATGTGATGCTCACAGAGATGCCCAGAAGCAGGAATGTGATTTCCAGGTAGATGGGAAAGGTGGTGGCTACAGCCAAAAGGAACACAAAAGCCCATCAGCTATGCTGCTAACAAGAATAAGAATGAAAAACTGTAAAATAGCACTGGCTTTAATACTTCTAATTCATTCAGGCACTTGAGGAAAATAGAGCAAAATTGAGTGGTCTGCTTAAGTGCTGCTAGGTAGGATGCTACATCTCAAGGACAGCCTAGCTTAATGTTTAGGTGACTTAATTTTAAGGAACACAGCCTTTACTGCATTGGGGACCTGATTTTTATGGCTTGTTGGGCTATGTAGTCATGCATGATTTTCATGTACACTGCCTCTCAAGGGATGCTGCTTGTCATAGGCCTCCAACTGATGAGGATCCCCCTTTCTAGTGTCTCATACTGCTCATCCTCCTAAGTGCTTACTTCAGAAGTATCAAAGCTTGGACTGTAGGTCCAAGCTGTTGCACAACAGAATTATTAGCTCTAGTCTGTTTCAAATATGTTGTGGTTGTGTTGCTGCTAGGCTCTGTTTGCTACGGACTCCTGCCTAGGTTACATGCACAAAAAGTGTATCAGTGTTTTATGTTGTCTTCAAAGGGCTGCCTTGGCTTTAGCTGTGTGAACTAGAAAGGCAGAGGGTGCTCAGTGGGTGACTGGCAGCAGAATGTTTGCAGCTTGGTTTTGTGATGCACAGAAGTTGGGTCTGGATGTATTTTCAGTGCATTACAAGTGATCACCCAATTTCCAAAGCTTGTCCTAGAGTCAGAGTGGTTAATTCAAAAAGCAGCTCACAGTTTTCTCTCAGAATGTGTTTCCTATCCATGACCAACAGATTGAAGCTAACGATGCATCGTGGTCAGTATGCACGCTACCATGCACACGTGCTATTAGATAAAGAATTGACTCTTGCTGTTGTCAGAGGATGATGTAGTTGTGCACATCTGTTTTCCAGACTGTTATATCTGTATTTGAGGCTGCAGCGAGTACTTCCTTCTCTTCTTTTCCAGGTTCATAAAATGATAGCAGAGTTCAGACTGATTCCTGGCCTCAATAATTTGTTTGACAAACTGATCTGGAGGAAGCATTCAGCATCAGCTCTTGTTCTGCATGGACACAATCAAAATTGTGACTGTAGCCCAGTGAGTAACTTTTTAAGTACTGTGTTGGATTTTGATGTTATTACCTAGTAACTCTGAGGAATTGTACTGAGTAACTGAATGCCTGTGTAAGTTAAGTGAGGTACAGTAGGACTCAGGTTTTTTGGGTTTTCTATTGCAAGTTAGAATGGTTCATTCTAACAATTTAGCAGAGGGCAATTTAGCCTCTTTCCAATCTCCCAGTTTGGGAGTTGTGAAAGGGGTAAATTTTTTGGTCTCTGGAGGCAAAAGTGGGAGAAGACCAAAACTAATGAAATGATAGCTGATGGGTCTAGCAAGGAGAGCCACAGAGCAGAAAATGAATTGCAAAGAGTTGAGTTGTTTTTGGTTTTGTTACTCAAACCTAGATACCCTAAACCAATAAGCATAGTGAGGACTTTTTTTTTTTTTTTTTTTTTTGCCTTTGTGGTGAGAAGAAATTAACTGTTACATGCATAGGATTGCAAGTAGCCTCTTCTGTTCTATTTTTGGGAAGCCTGCAAAGTGCACCCTTCTCCTTTTATGCAAGTCATTTGCTCTACTGTCCAAATGGGTTTGATTTGGATAGGTTTTCAATTCAGCTGTTTCATGTCAGCTTGGTAATTAATGATGGCCAAAAATACCAAAGCAGTTTTGTTGACCTTTATTCTCTCTTTTTCAGGACATTACTTTAAAGATACAGTTCTTGAGGCTTCTTCAGAGCTTTAGTGATCACCACGAGTGAGTATGAAAAGCTCCAGTAAATTGTGGCTCGGCAGTATTGTTTGTCTGGTTGCAGTTACAGCAGGTCTCCTAGGCACGGTGCCTGCTCTGTGAATGGAACATTGTACTGTCCTTAAACATTTGTTCAGATGTTATGTGCCTTCCAGCTCCTCTATGAAAAGACTATGGCTGTGTTCTCCAGTGGGCAAGTTTAATGTGTCCATTGAAGATTGAGACGAGCTTGTTTTGCTTAATGATGAGTTGAACTGAAACATTTATGTGATGAGTTACTACTTTGTGGCTGCAGGACGAAGGTGGCAGCTTTCATGATGCTGTTTCTCTCTTTTCCCTGAGTTGGTAGCGAGCAGTGTACTCACAAGAGGCTTTTTCCCTGTGTGTACACATTCGGGTTTAATTCAGAGTAGAACAAGCCAAAAATGTCTGTTGAAAGATCAGGGTGAAAGACAGCACATATCTGAAAGAGGTTAACTGAAGAGGCTGGGAAGATGCAATTGCTGTCTAAATACCAGCAATGGAGGAAGACCTGATTAAGCATGATTATGCAGTGGAAAATGTTAGGGGAACAATTACCTGGAAGCTAGGTTGGAAATAGGAAGAAGGGCTCTGTTTGCCTTCAGAAGGCATGCTTGCGAAGCTTGATTCTGCCGCAGTAGTTAAGGGGTGATGTAGGTTTCTTTAAATGCCTTTACTCAAGAGACATGCTTCCTCTGATGCAGAGAATTGTTGCTGTAGTTTGACTTGCAGAATCGCATCTTGCATTCTGTTAGTGTCCTGCTGCTCTAATTCAGCCCTGCAAGGTGGTTTCATGCTTATTAGCAAACCTCTGCATTTGAGGCATATTGCACTAAATACGCATGTGCATATTCACTTATTGCCTAGCTGGTGTTGTTTACAGCCCAGGGTGGTAATATTTTTTGTAAGATTTAACAAATCCCATTAAATTTCTTCAACATGCATATTGGAAGTGGCAGCCTTTTTGATTAGGGAATGTTAGTTATAAGAGTGGGGAGCTGCTGAACATATTTTACATGTAAGGGGAAGGCTGACCTGATCCTTCATTCAAGATGTTGTTTGCTGAGGAATCACTCCAGGTTTTCCAGTAAGATCTCTCTAGATTATGTTCTGAGTGAAGTGACTACTACAGAGACGTCAGGCTTGTTTAAATGGAAAACAGCTTTCATCTGTAGCCTTTGAGCAGATGGAATGTGTGGAATCCGGTTAAGGTTTTTAAACAAGTGGTTGCATAAACTCTATGAAATCACAGTCTAGTGGAATTAGCTGAGAACACGATGGGAGTAAGTGCTTATATACTGGTACTGACTTCAGTAAAATTGTGAATAAGCTAAACTTGCAGAACTGTTCATGCATGGAGAGAGAGAGGCTGTGTTTTCATTACAGAGGCCTGTTGATCCAGATCAAAAGGAACTTCACATGGCACTTGTTGGGCACTTATCTGGAAGATAGTGTTTGAAGCAAGAGGGCATCCCTGTCACTTCTCTGGTCTAATTACTTATCTTCTTCGTAGTTGCTGTATTGCGATGAATATGTTCTACTTTTACACCCTTACGCTCTGAGCAATTTGCAGTAGGACATTAAGGAAACGTGCTGGAACTGGGGAAGGAGTCAGGCAATGGGAGCCTCTGGAGTACATTTCTACATTGTCAGACCTGTCCTACTAAACTCTGGAAACTTCATTTTTTCCACAGATAAACTCATTGGTTTTCATAAAGGAAAAAAAAATATCTCTATTTGATAAATTATTTTATGCAAATTCCCTATTCTAATATCCATTCTGATTCTCTGTTTTGTAAAGTCTTTAAATATTTCCAGAGTAAACAGTTTGCTTGAAGTAATAAAACTACCAGGAAGACTGAGTACTCCTTTGCAGTTTCTTCTTGCTAATTGAGGCTAATTACTGATGAACAGCAAGATCACTATATGGCAGAGAAAAAGTGTTGGAAGCTGTGGAAAAGTTTGCTGTTTAAGTGTACTGAAATTCAGCAAACTTGCTGAGATTTTCAGAAACTTCTGCCATCTGGAAGCAAATATTTACAAAACAAACCATAAGATCCTGAACAGATCAGCAAAGAATAGGAATCTCAAAGCAGTTTGGTGTTGAAACTTGTGTTTGGCAAATTTCAAAGACAGCTTACAGAACAGCAGCTAGTTGGCCTGGTTTGGGAGTGTGCTGTGATCGAGGAAGTAGAGTGTGAAAGGCTGTGAGAGCTGGAGAGGTGAAAACTTACTGCCTAAGACCTGCAGCCCTTATAGGCCTGTGGCATTTCTTTTCATAGAGCTGCACACTTGTCTGCCTCTTGAATGGATTCATCGTGTTTTTCTCCCCTACTCCCCAACTGTCTTGCTTTAGGAACAAGTATCTCCTTTTGAACAGTCAAGAACTTAATGAGCTGAGTGCAATCTCCCATAAAGCCAACATCCCTGAAGTTGATGCAGTTGTCAACACAGACAGGTGAGTAGGGATACAAAATTTAAGGTCAGCAGCTTCCAGCATTGTGCAAACACTTACATTGGAGCTTTGGTGTCACCTATTTTGTTTGAGATCCCATGGTCCACCACGCTTACATTAATTTCAGTGACGTGCTTCAGCAGGAAGTGTCTAGCTGTTTTTGTACACTGTGGTCATTAGCAAATTTAAAGCGTGTTGTGTTCTCTGAGTAAGGCCTTTTAAAAACAGAAGCAGCTTAAAACGGGGATTTTGGTTTCATGACCTGGACTTCATTATTATGTGCTCAGTCTTCCTGTTTGTCTGGTCTTTCTCACTACTAGCATTGCAGACACAGCTGGAAAGTAAGCTGTGATCCCTCCAGTACATGACTTGCTGCTATGAATAAATCTTACGTTTTTTGATTGAGAAGTAGTTTGTGCACACACAATGTCCATTACAGGTCTGCGTATTTTAAGAACAGCTAATAACTAGAGTAAGTTAAATTAGATTAATGTGTTAAAACTCCTTATGGAATCACTAGTATTATATTTGCTTATCTGTTCAATTGACTATTTTGATTTAATGAGCACTGCAATACGCATCTCTGATGTACAGACCTCACAAAGTTGAAAAACTTTGAGTTCAGTTGTCAGAATACTCCTAGATTGCCAGCAGGGACTTGGTCTGCACAGGGCAGACTTACCTCACTTTGAAAGGAAATTCTCTGAGATTTCTAGATTATAACTATTATCATAATAATTTGCCTAATTGGTAAGAAATGGCATCCGTATTACTTAGCCCATTTCTTTCTAAGCATAGATACCTGCCTGCCTTTGTCTGGAATAAGTTGAATAAGTACGTAAGGGGAAAAATTCACCCTGTTGCAAGTGTACAGAAAGGAATCAGAGCAAGAGTGTCATCATCTCTGGCTGCCCTGCAGAACACTACCACTGGTAGAGCTAAGTCACTAAAGTTAATGAATATTCATGTTGCATATTCAATACTGGTCATTAATTTATCATTCCAACCTCTGGAGAAGAGATTGGATTCAGTGTCCTACAAGGTGCAGTAGAAACAGCCCTCCTGCTCATACTGTCATTTCTTCATGTGCTTTTAGGAGTCTTGTCTGTGATGGGAAAAGAGGTTTGTTGACCAGACTTCTTCAGGTCATGAAGAAGGAACCAGCTGAATCCTCCTTCAGGTGAGTTAATTTTACATTGCTGTGTGCTGTTTTGAGTTGACTGGAAGGTGAATTTGTTTTCATACAGCTTACAACAGTTGAAAATGCTTGAAAACCATAAACTGTGAAGAGAATGTGGCTTTGTTGCACTTGGCATTCTCCCTCACCTGCACTACCACTGTAGCCAAAGTTTGCATTGGACCTCACACCCAATACGGTCAGTGATTTTCTGCAGGATTAACAGATCTCTCTCCAGCTTCAGGTTGGAATGAAACTGATTAGGAAATTTGGTGTAAATTATAGTTGTGATAAATTCCTACCCTTGCTCCAGAGTTAAAATCTCTTCTTCCGTTTCTTAGGTTTTGGCAGGCAAGGGCAGTTGAAAGTTTTTTGCGAGGCACCACCTCCTATGCAGACCAGATGTTTCTGCTAAAGAGAGGACTTCTGGAGGTAATGAATTGCACACCCAGCTTCTTCTGTAGCACATCTCTGTAGCAATTGAGAAGGATTTATCTGTAAAGAATTCAAATTTAAAATACAGTTTTTATCAGGCAATTTTCAAAAGGTATTTGTGAATTCTACATGTGGCAACCAGGCATGGGGTGGCCGGCTCTATAGCCTGCATCATTGGGAAGTTAATTTCATAAAAGACTCGTCTGAATTGTTGTATTTAGTTCTGTTACTTAAGAACTAAACTTGCAGATAAGTGTTTGAAATAGTGATTAAATCAAAGTCTCTGCTGTATTTGGGCTAAACCATGGCAATAACATGTTTTCCTCCCATGACAGCATATTCTCTACTGCATTGTTGATAGTGAGTGCAAATCACGGGATGTGCTTCAGAGTTACTTTGACCTTCTGGGAGAACTGATGAAATTCAATATTGATGCATTCAAGAGGTTCAACAAGTACATCAACACAGATGAGAAGGTAAATATTTGTAAAAGTTGTCCCCAGCGGGTCAGATTACAGCCTCTTATAACCAAATACGGCACTAGGAAACTCAGATTGCTTTGCTGCTTTTGGTGCATCTGTTGAGCCTGGTGCACAATAAACACAGAGCAGTGAGCTGCCAAAGTCTCTTCACAAGTGCGTATGTTGCTGCATACAATCATGTTCTTAGAAGTGTTCCCAGCTGCTCTGAGTCAGCAAGTGCTGAGCTGTTCAGAAAATGTTGCCTGTTACATGATCGTGCAGGTCCAAGGTCAGGGCTCAAAGATGGTAGAACAATTCCTGTGAAATGACTGAGTTTTGGGTTAAGCTGATAGTTATAGACATTCAAACAGGCTCCAAAAATTGTTTCACTGGAGCTTCTTTAAAAAAGAAAGGGAGGGGGCTGATTTGATGTACATGAGTTAAAACATTCTTTAATATTTGATAATGCAAAATTGTATACCTTTTGATATTATTTGCAGTCGTGGGTGTTTTAAGATGTCATAGTTGATGTAATTACCTAGAAAACTGAGTTGTGCATGTAGATCAAGAATGGGCAGCTCTCTGCAAAACGGTTTCTTGTTTTTATGCACTTCTGTGTATGTAACATCAGCTGTTGGGAAGATTTTGAATGGTCTCACTCCTGCTTATGATACGTTAATTTTTCTCTGGTTGCTGTCAGGTCTGGCAGATCTTGGAGAATCATAGCAGAGATGCATTTCCAAGAGAGGTGTATTTAATATCAGGTTGTTCTTTGGTTAACTGTCCTCACACGTTCTAGAGAACCTACCTATATACTTTGTGATTTCTTCCTTTCTGGTCTATAACTTTTTAAAATTTTGGGTTGGTAAGAATCCCTCGCTGTATTCCTTCTCAGCCCTATCTGATGTGCAAAGCAAGTGTAGGGAAATAGGGAGCTAGAGGAACCACAGAGCCCAGCAGCCCTGTCATTCGTCTCTTTTAGAAGAAACAGTGTGTGAAATCCTGATCTCATTGACGTGATAGGGAGAGCTTCGTAATAGATATTAGTAATGCCAGGACTGTCCTGGAGGTTTTTCTGTTCCTTAACATTTTTAAGGTACTTACTGTAGGGATCCTTTGGACGGCCTTCACTGCCAGTATTGGCTTCGGCTGGACGAGGCAGATCAGGAGTGTGTATCTCCTGTTACTCTTGTTAGAGTTAATAAAAAAATAACGAGTATATGTATTGGTGTGGTAAGGAAATGACCAGATGCATTTTGGCATTCAGAACCTACCTTAGGTCTTGCTGTCCTTTAGAGAGAAGGGGAAGTTGGGTGCATCGGTGTTTGCTTTTGTTGGTGGTGTGTGTGGTTTAGGTGTTGGTGCTCAAAATTCAAGGTGTGGTTTCTCCTGTAACCTTCAAGAACTGTATTCTTCCAGTGTTGAGAACCTGGCACACACTGACTGCCCTACTCACTGCATCCTGTCTGTAGCTCTTCCTGCTCAGGTTCGCTGGCCTGTTCCTCCTGTGCCAATGAGGTAATTGGCTAGTACACCTCTTGGCCATACACGTTCTGAAAATGTTATTAAATGCAGTTCCATGAGGCCTTATCTCTGAGTGCTCATGTACAATGACTTTGCATTTTTTTAATGCAACGCTATGAATTTCTTCTCTCTAGTTCCAGATATTTTTGAATCAGATCAACAGTTCATTGGTTGACTCCAACATGCTGGTTCGCTGCATTACGCTGTCCCTGGACCGATTTGAGAATCAGTCTGATGCTAAAGGTAAAGAATAAGAAATGGCATGGGTGTGTGGCTGTGATAATGCTCATTTTCGTAGAATCATAGAATATCCTGAGTTGGAAGGGACCCAATGATTATGGAGTTCATCTCCCGGGTCCCCAAAGGACCATCCAAAAAATCAGACCATGTGTCTGAGAGCATTGTCCAAATGCTTCTTGAACTCAAATTTTAAGCGTGGGCTTTGCAAGTTTGGGTATCAAACAGAGAAAAGGTCACCTTGCAGGTTTGTTCCTACAGCCTGAGCACCAGTTCTTACTGCTGAGTTGCTTGGATCAATGTGTCTGAACTGTTAAGTACCTGATGATTGTCTTTTTTCTCTTGCTACAGTTGCAGAAGTCCTGTCAGAGTGCCGCCTGTTATCATATATGTCCCAGATGTCCATGAGAATGTCCTTTCTTTTCCGTCTCATTAATATTATTCATGTACAGACACTTACACAGGTAAAGAGCTGACAGTAACTTTGTTGTTATCTTGCTGTTACTGTGTATGGATGAACTGGGCTGGGAACAGGGAGGAACCTGGCTTCTCTGAGGAGACCCCATGTCCCTTCTTTCTTGATACATGTATACAACTGATACCTCAGGGGTGGTTGTTGTTGTTTGACCTGCTGTCATTTTATTTTTAGGAAAACGTCAGTTGTTTGAACACAAGTTTAGTTATCCTAATGCTGGCCCGAAGGAAAGAAAAGCTACCTTTTTATCTGCGCACTTTGCAACAGATGGAATACACAGAAAAATATCCAGGTTTCATCCTGAACAACTTCCATAGTCTTCTGCGATTCTGGCAACAGCATTACCTCAATAAGGATAAGGACAGCACCTGCTTAGAAAATGTACGTGAACCTCTTACTGTAGTCAGAATCCACCAGAGCAGTATCTGTCTGTTAGCCTCCTAGCAAAAATGGGGTGGCAGGGTGCCCTGGGTCCTGCAGCGCCTGGACCCTGGGTTGCAGTGTTTGTGCCATGGTTTGCAGCGACCCTTCTGTGGCTTCCTGGGCTGCAGACAGGGGATGATGCTGAGAGCAAAGCTGTCTGCCGTTGCTGCGTCTCAGAGTGCAGTACTTGCTGTTTTCAGCTGCTGCTTGGCACTTGGAAGTGGCTGGTTGTCCTGGGTGTAAAGGCTTCGGGCAATCCATGGTGTAGAGGGAGACTGCCAGCACTTGGTTGTTGCAGGAGACGCTTTTTGGCCTTAAAAGAATGACATAAGGGGGATGCGAGCAGGGAGGCTGTCTTGTCTTTGTGTCCTGCCTAGGAGCAGGAGCTGCTGCCAGCACTGGCTTCAGCTGCAGCACTGCAGTGTTCCAGTTTGTGTTTGGACAACAGAGGAGGAGTTTGAGCTCGTGTGTGTGTGTGTGCACTGCTCCCAGATGGCCTTGCCTGCCCACCCATGCAGGTGGTGTTTGCCCTGGGTTGCCCCGGGAGGGCAGGCTGGGTGAGAACGGGGGCTAAAAGTGCGTGGCTGGGGCAGTCAAGCTGAGTAGGAAGCAATTTTCAGTTTTCTCTGCTGAATGCCTGTGAGATGTCTCTTCTGCTGGGTGGCAGTACCTGCTGAGCACGCTAACCGGTCTCTTCATCTCTTCCCGCAGAGCTCATGTATTAGTTTTACCTACTGGAAAGAGACTGTATCTATACTGCTCAGTCCGGACCGGACGTCCCCCTGTGCCATAGTTAGCTACATCGACGAGGCGTATATGGACATTGACAGAGACTTTTCTGAGGAGTAATTCTTCGCTCTGGCTTCTGATGGACAGCGCTTGGAGGGTACCTCGCAGCCCGTGGATTTTCAGGGATTCGCTGTGTAGTGTGTGTGCGCGTGCGCGGCTTGGAACCGCTGACTGTTACTGCATTGTCAAAACCCCGGTCCCCATCTCTGATCTCTAACGGAGGAGACTTTGAGAGCTCTCTGGGCAACACATTCAGGGATGTATCTTCCAGTTGTTCTGGGATAAAAAATAATCACCTGCAAAAACTGATCTTTTTTCTTCCCTCCTCCCACCCCCGCCCCGTTAAATGTGGCTGGTCAGAGCTCTTTGTGCTGACGGACGAGGATTCTCTGTACGTGCCAACTTAGTGATGGCTCCCTTTCATGGCTACCCCAACTAGCAAGTCACAAAGCACAGAAATTGCCCTCCAAATGTGAGGTCCAAGGAGCCAGTCTGCTTGGGACCCTGACACACCAGCCACATGCAGAGCCACCACGAGGACTCCCTCCAGGTGCACCTCTTCTGTTGGGGTTTGGAATCGGGTTTAGGGTTGGTTAGAGTGTGTGTGTGTGTGTGTGCATGTGTGCGCGCGTGTGCGCTTTTAATTCCTGAGAGCCCTAGCTCCAGTCACCTCTTTCTCATCTACTTTTGGATCATTTGGTACTAAATCTGTTCAGCCGCTGTCTATATGTTAGGAGAGAACCTCTGCTCCTGCTGTCTTTCCTGCAGATCCTTCCTCTCCGAAGGTGTTTCACAACGGTGCAGAGAACAGAGACATTTCAGCAGTGGTGGAATTGCAACAGGGGTTGGCTTTTTCACAGAGCACTAGCATTAAAATATACTAATTTTTTTAAACTTGGGGCTTGTCCCTTCTTGGATAACTAATCGGGTTTTAAAATACTTTTCAGGACCATTGCTCTTAATGCTAACCTGCTACGTGTGGAAGTCTTATGTCAGTCTGCTTTCAGCCCTTAATATCAATACACACACATTAATCTTGAAGTGCAATATTTATTGGAAATGTCAGTTTTTCCTGGATCAGTTTTAATGAGAATGTGTTAAGTACTGGGAATAAACACTCCTAGTTGAAAGTAACTTTGCAGGATTTGTTGGGAAAGGGAGAAAGCAGGTTTTTGGCGGTCACTAGTGCCAGACCTGTGCACACCCTGCCTGCTCACCACCGTTGTGTTGCTCCAAGACAGTCACATTCCCAGGAATGAAATGCAGCCTGAAGTCCTGAGCCACTGCATTTAAGTCAAAAGGTATGAATCTTGCAGCTCCAGCTAATAGGAAACCGGTTTTCTTTTTCAAACATGCATTTGGATTTTTTTTAAAATCTGTTATTTGATGAGACAATTTGGTTTCAGCTCCCTCCAGGGTGTCCCTGAGCTGTAGCATTTTGTCTCTAATCCATGCCCTGGAATGAAACCCCCCTCTGAGGGGTCCCTGTGCTGGGGCCCGGATGAGTGGACGATGCTTCCAGCCCCCAGTGCAGGACTTGCTCTCCAGCAGTTGCCCCTCTCCTCTTGCTTATCTCACCCTTCGTGTCCTGCTGCGGACCTGCAGTCACAACTCTGCTTGCAGGGTGCTCAGAGCTGCTGAGCTTGAGCTTAAGCCTGGAGCCCCTGGGGAGCCTTCAGTGTCCTTCGGGGCTGAGTCCCTGGGGCAGGCTCTGCCCAGCTCTGGTGAGGGCCCTCCAGTCGTGTCCCCCCCCCCTTGGGTCCGGGACTTCTTCCACTGGCAGCTGCACCTCCCTGCTCTTCATCAGGTCATCCCAGCCGGTCCCCTCCCTCCCCCCAGCTAATTTCTTTCTCATCTGTACTTTTTTGTTCTTGGGTATTTGTGTTTTTGGTGTATCTTTGCTTCTTCTTAACTGTAATAGATGTACACTTAAAATAAATGCTTCAAATTAAAAGGCTTTTAAGTTAAGGGATGCCTTTTCCATAGTCTAGTTAATTGGTGCATCCAGCGATTGCTGCTATACCCCTGCAGAGTCTCATTTCCATCTCTGTTTTTATGTAACGTACCGGTAAGGGCCAAGCTGTGGCTGTCCTTGGCTAGGGGCCTGCATGAGGCTGAGCTGAAATAACCCCAGCCAGCTTCTGCTTCGGGGATCCCTCCCTGCCATGGGGGCACAGCCATCTACCCTTGGTCCTGTGTTTTGGGTCCTCTCCTGCTAGAGGCAGCTTGGCTTTGCTTTCACCATCAGGTGTGCGCAGGAGGCTGAGGTGGCTGCCTGCAGAGGGCATGGGCAGGGAAACCACGGCAGCTCCTCCAGGGAGGGAGCGCTCTGGGGAAAGGCTCTGCCCACTGGGGGCACAGCCATGAGCACGCTGAGAGCTGCTGCCAGCTAATGTATCCATGGCAGGTACCTTCAGCAGCTCTTCCAAGAGGGACCAAGCAGCTCTGTCCTTGTTGTGGCTTATTTACGGAGAGCACAGGGAGGAAGGGGCCTGTGCGGGGCTGGGGGGCACTCGCTGACCCCAATCAAGGTGGCAGCAGCTCTGTGCGGGGACGGGGTGGAGGTGGGAGCCCTAGCGCTAACCTGCAGCTGGAAGTCTGCACTACCCCCACGGCTCACTGAGGTGCGTGCTGCCCAGATTAATGCCAATTTACTAACTGCAAATAAACATATTAAATGGAAACTTATTAAAGAAATTTATTTTAAAGAAACAAGTGGAGCTGTCTTTCTTTGTAGTCTCTTTGCCTAAGCAGTCATTGACCTGTCTCTGCCCTGCAGGATTGTGTTTTACACTCTGCCTGGGAGTAATGGGTTTAATAAGGTCTGTTTTGCCTTCTGCCCCCGTGCCCCTACCCTGCTTTGTCCCTTGGCTCTGGCCCTTCCTTGCTGAGAGTTTTGATGTGAGCAATGTGGGGGGGCTCTTCCTACTTTCCCTGAAGCCCAGAGCAAACCAGCACAGTAGAGCAGGGCCCAGGGAGGCCTGTGTCCCTTCTGCCCCTGCCTGGCTGTGAAGCGCGTTCCCCAAAACCCCCAGCTCACCGCAGCAGCCCCAGTACCCATCACAGACACAAAGGAGCCGCTCCTGGCAGAGCTACGTTTATTCACTCAGAGCAAAGCTGGCGGTGGCTGTTGCAGCCATTGGCCTCCGAGGTGCCGCGGGTGGCTGGGGACAGGCAGGGCAGGCAGCCCGGCTCCTGCTACTCGTGCTGGTGGAAAACAGGAGGGTGTTGGCAGCGCTGTGCAGCCGCTCCCCTGGCTGCCTGGGGGGGCTGCAGGGCCGAACCTTACCTTGGAGGTGAGCGTGATCGCCTCCCTGGTGCGGGCGCGCAGTTTGTTGACCTGCGTCTCGGCGATGTCGGCCCGCTCCTCGGCATCATCCAGCTCGTGCTGCACCTTGCGGTACTTCACCAGGTTGGAGTTGGCTTGCTGCTCCTGGGGGCCGCGGATGGGGTGAGGGGGGTGTGGGGGGCACTCCCCACACCACCCCCAGTGCCAGGCCTCCCAGGCAGCCCCTGGGAAGGCCGGCGCTGCCCGAGGAGAGCCGAGCAGGGACGAGCACTTACCGCCTCCTCGAACTGGCGCTTGTAGCTCTTGACCTTGCTCTGCAGCTTGTCAATCAGGTCCTGCATCCGTGTCAGGTTCTTCCGGTCTTCTTCAGTCTGCAAGTGCCCCCGACCCAGTCAGCAGGACCCCGATGCTGGTGCGAGACCCCTCAGCCCTGCTCGGGATGCAGCTGCCCCAGTGCCAGCAGCCCCAGAGGTTCCGGGGCCCTTTGCAGCCACCAACCCCGTGCCATGTGGGCCGACCCCCTTGTGTCCCACGCTCAGCCAAGGAGGTGCCACAAAAGGGGCAGAGGGACACGGAACTGGGGGGATGCTGGAAGAAGCCTGGCCCCTTGCCCTGCAGGTGCTGGGCTGGGGGTTTTGGTTAACGTCAGGGGCAGAGAAAGGGGAGAGCTGGGCCCAGAGGCTGGCGGGGCCTGAGCTGTACCCGCTGCTGCCGTACCTGGTAGGTCAGCTCCTTGATCCGCCGCTCATACTTGCGAATGCCCTTCTGGGCTTCAGCCATCTTCTTCTGCTCCATGTCCAGCTCTCCCTCCAGCTCACGCACCTGTGGGAGGCAGCAGCCAGCTCACGAGCTGCTCCCCAAACAGGGGCACCCAGTGCCAGCCCCAGCCAAGGCCACGCCACGTTCCCAGCTGCAGCTGAGGCTGAGCCACCCCAGGCTTACCAGTCCCTGGGGGTGCCCCTCACGGCACAGCAGGAGGGACGGGGCAGGTCCGGGGCCCTGCAACGCCCACTGTCACCTGGGGGCTGCCCCCTGCCTCCTTACCCTGGCCTCCAGCTTCTGGATCTGCTTCTTGCCCCCCTTGAGAGCAATCTGCTCCGCTTCGTCCAGGCGCATCTGCAGGTCCTTGATGGTCTGCTCCATGTTCTTCTTCATCCGCTCCAGGTGTGCACTTGTGTCCTGCTCCTTCTTCAGCTCCTCTGCCATCATGGCAGCCTGCAAGGCCAGTGCACAAACATCACCCTGAGGCCCGGCAGCCCTGCCAGACACAGGGACTCCATGGAGGAGCTCCGAGACCCTCCCCTCTCCTCCCACCCCCCCCAGCCCTATGAAGGTGCTGGGCACCCTTGCGCCACCATCCCCACCCCGCTCTCACATCCGTGATGGCCTTCTTCGCCTTCTCCTCGGCGTTGCGGCACTCCTGCACGGCGTCCTCCACCTCGCTGCTCAGCTGGGAGATGTCGGTCTCCAGCTTCTTCTTTTGGTTGATCAGCCCCGTGTTCTGCGGGCAGAGACAGGCAGTGCCATGAGGACTGGCCGTGCCAGACGGGCTCCTGGCTCTCGGGGGGCGGTGGGCAGCCCCTCACCTGTGAGTGCAGCAGGTTGACCCTCTCGGTAGCCTCCAGCAGCTCCTGCTCTGCCAGCTTCCTGCTCCTCTCGGCCTGCTCCAGCGCCGCCCGCAGCTCCTCCACCTCCGCCAGCAGCAGGTTGTTGCGGCGCTCCAGGGCGGCCGCCTGCTCCTTCAGGTCATCGTTTTGGCGCTGGGTGTCGTCCAGCTCGATTTGCAGGTCCTGCGGGGCAGCGTGGGGTCAGTGGGGATGGGGGGGGGTGACGGGGGTGGCCCCAAGGCCAGCAGCAGCCCCTCCGCCCAACCTTGATCTGGGCCTGCAGCTGGCGGCCCAGTTTCTGGAACTCGGCGGCCTGGCGGTTGGCGTGGCTCAGCTGGATCTCCATCTCGTTCAGGTCTCCCTCCATCTTCTTCCTCAGCCGGACAGCCTCGTTCTTGGCCCGGGCCTCAGCGTCCAGCGTGGCCTGCATGGAGTCCATGGCCCGCTGGTGGTTGCGCCTGTGGGAGGGACAAAGCATCAGCCCCCTCTGCATGGGGACACCCGGCCTGGGGCAGCCGTGGCCAGAGGTGCTCATCCCATCGTGGCCATAGTGCCAGCTCTGCCCCACAGCGATGGCCCAGCCCCGCACACACCTCAGGTTCTCGAACTCCTCGTCCTTCTCTGCCAACTTTCTGTCTACGTCAGCCTTGATCTGGTTCAGCTCCAGCTGGATGCGCAGCGTCTTGCTCTCCTCATGCTCCAGGGCTCCCTGCAGACAGCAGCAGCTGTGGGAAGGGGCCCCTGGGGAAGTTCTCCGGTCACCCCAGCCCAGAGCTGCGGGGAGCCACCCCAGTGCCTTGCTGAGGTTGCACAGCCCCCATGAGCAGGACCCGGGGTGCACCCTGGCTCTCAGGACTGTCACAGCATCAGAGAGCTGCGAGTTGCTGCTCCAGCACCACCCCACTGGCACTGCAGGGTGGGTCAGGGGCTCTCAGGAGCAGCAGGCACCTGTGAGCATCGGTGGGAAGCACAGACCCACCTCGGCCTCCTCCAGCGCTGCCTGGATATCGCTCTTCTCATTCTCCAGGGCTTTCTTCAGCTTCTCCAGCTCGTGGATGGTTTTGCCACTCATACTGATCTGGTCGGTCAGATCAGCGATTTCCTCTGGCAGGAGCAGAAGGTGTTTGGTCAGAAGCAAGTCTGCAGGGCCAGCCCCACACAAGATTTTCCTATCCCCCCACCCAGGCTGGGCCTACGTCCCCCCAGACCCTCTGGGAGCATCAGTCTGGGTGCTGAGGTTGTGCCTGGGGAATGGGTACTGGCCCCTTTGGTGGGCTCTCCTGCACTCCCCTGCAGCCAGGGTGAAGGAGAGGAAGAGAACATACACCATTTGGAAACAACAGTCAGATGTCCATCTGCCCAGTGTCCCCATGAAGAGGACAGGCCCTGCGCTAGCTTCCCAGAGGGATGCAGTGCCTCACAGCCCAGCCTGAAGGAAATGGGCCACGTGAAGCTTAGCACCAAGGGCTGTTCCCTGCCCAGAAGGACGCCCATCCCACCACACGTCTGTCTCTGGGCTGAGGACATGGGAGCCACAGGCTGCCCGTGCCAGCAGGGCCCCAGGGAGCCTGAGGGGAGAGCGTTAGCCCAACCCTACCCTGCAGGTTCTTGTTCTCCCTCTTGAGGGTCTCCAGGTTGTCCAGAGACTCCTCGTAGGCATTCTTGAGCTTGAAGAGCTCTGTGCTCAGGCTGCGCGATTCCTTCTGTGACGCCTCCAGCTCTGCCTGGGTCTCCTCGTACTTCTGCTTCCACTCAGCCAGGATCCTGTCAAAGTTGCGCTGCTTCTTGTCCAGGGCAGCGCAGGCAGAGTTGGCTCGCTCCAGGTCCACCGAGAGGTCCTCAATCTCTGTCTGCAGCCTGTGCTTGGTCTTCTCCAGCGAGGAGCACTTGGCGTGGGCAGCCTCCACCGCCTCCTCCGCTTCCTGCAGCCGGATGGCCAGCTTCTTCCTGCGGCCAGCAGCAAGGGGTGAGTGCCCCCAGCCCAAACGCCAGCCCACCCTGCTGCTCTGAGGAGGGAAGGCCACGGCCTGCCCAAACAGCCCCAGATCTGGGAAAGATCCATCCCTGAATGGAAAC